CATCCAACGACCCTAGAAAAAAGAAAAGGGTAACGTTCCTGCTAATCGATTCGGCTCACGATTTTCCCTTATCCCGAGAAAAGGTTCATTTTTCACGCGGACTCTTCAATCCCGGAGCAATCAAAAGCAGAACCACAGCAGAGAGACTCCTTCCCCTTTTCGCCATGTATATATATATATACAATGATGACTCGGATAAAAGGAGGAAGCCATCGATGCAGGTCCCGTCGTCTCCCTCCCGCGCTGCAACGGACACTTTCCGCAACTGTAGGTACACCCCTTGCCGGGCGGCACGTCCTCGCTCGACTTTCAATCTGTTGCGTCATCAGTCACCAACTGAAAAACCGAATCAATCAATAGCCCAATCCCATTATACATCTTTTCTTCGTCTCCCCCTTCCTCTCGATCCCCTCGTCCTTTTCCCTCCCAGTACACACATTATATACCTATGGAACGAGAAAAGACACAGTTTGCCGAGTTTGCATTTCTATATGCTTCTGGATGCGTGCGTGTGTGATATCGGAGAAAGGGGGGACAGACAGCCACGGGCGGGTGTTATTAGATGGAACAATGGTACGGCTCAATGATTCGAGAAGACCAAGTGCGTCAGGGAAGGTATACGGCGAAAGTAAAATAAGTAAGTGTGCACATGAGATAGAGTTTAAGTGGGTGTATATATATATGTATATATGTATGATGTTCGTACGTACAAAATATGGCGTAGGTTCTTATATCGTTATAATAATTTTTTTTTTTTTTTTTTGTATAGTGAAAGTAGTAATGATAATAATGCAAATAAACAGTGCACCGTTTTTTTTTTTGCATCTCTTTAATCTTTCCAACGTCTGACATTCCAAAAAACGTAACATCATCATCACCATCATCATTATCGTATTCCTTACACCTATACCTATATTTAGTTACAATAATCGTCACATCTTGGCTCCAGCGTGTGTGCACACATCGTAATAACGCAACGTCGCTCATTAATCGATAAATAAATATATATATATTTATATGTGTAATTATTTTATTTCATTTTTTTTTTTTTTTTTTCATTCATTCATACACGATACACACTCGCACTCAAAAACCACACGCATGACCTGTAGCTGCATGCACGTATATGTTATACGCACATGTCATGTATAATAATTCCTGTAAACACACGCACACTCGGAGGGCTAAAAACGTACATGTATATATGTATATATATAAACGTGGATCGGTGTTCTTTAAGCGTCTTCGCCGATCGAGTTTTTTTTATTTATACTCAATTATTGCTTCAATTTACAAGCTCGGCGCCAATGCGCGCCATCGGACCGTTAACAACAGATTTGCGGTAAAGTCTCTCTCACGGTACATCATAGAGAAACCTAGTTCGCAATTTTATAATAATAATCATTGTAATAAATAATAAGCCATATATGCTCGTTCCACTCGTGGCTTTGTCAATTCGAATGCGCACTCGTCGCAGCTTCGTGTATTTCAACCGAGGGAACGAAGTGAGTCAGCCACCACCCGCGACGCTGTTATAACGTCATGCCCCTCTCCATTTTTTTTTTTTTTTTTTTTTTTTCCCCAACAATCATCAATGCGCTTCAAACTGATCCAAGCCTTGGATTGATTTACGCGTGTTCATTTTTTCATGCGCCTCGAATGTTAAAGCAGCGATACCTTCGAAACCGATCGATCAATAATTCATGTCCGCTGATGCCGCGCTTCGGAGAACAATCGATCAACATTTTTTTCTTTCATTTTTTTGACCCTTCGATGGTTGGGTCAATAATTAAGGTAACGTGGAAAAGAAGAAGAAAAAAAAAGACAAAAAAAAGGAGAGGATCCCGCGGCCATTACCAGCCGATGAATCCCGGCGGTTCGTAATTAGCCTCATGAATATAAAGCGAAAAACCAACGGAGAACCGACCGAGCGGGAGGACCGAGATTCATCCTCGTGGGTGTGCGCGCATATAATACACACACGCACGCACGTGTGCGCAATAAATCTCGAGGCTCGTCTCGAACGAGAAAAATAATTAACCGACGGGCGCGAACGAGGCGCCGATGAGCCGTCATTGTTCTATAAATAATAATGTATACATCCCGAAGAAGGAGGAGGCTCGTTACGGATGATTTAAGGGCCGATACTGGCTCGCTATGTACGTGTGCGCGTGCGAGAGCTGACAAAAAGCCCACCGCGAGAAATTAATGACGTAAAAACGAGCGCTCGCATAAATCGGAGGCCACAGTTTGCCGTGGACGCGTGAAATATTATCGCGAGTGTCTCTCCTTTGCTCTGTCCAATGGCCATGTAATCGATGGAGATTGTTTTTTTTTTTTTTTTTTTTTCAACAACTACGCGTGTAATCGATGTGGTGGGCGAATCACGGTCACGAAGAAAAACGTCCCGCATCGAGAGACAGAGGGGGAAAAAAAAATTTGCCGATAAATTTTCCAAAATCGAGCAGAGTCGCTTCTTTCCTTGGGTGTACACGCTACAACGAGAGAAATGCCGCTCCGATTTGATTTATCCGGTAGGACTCTGGTGCACGCTGTATCGCGCCGGTTTCTTTATCTTTTCGCCGCCTGCACCGCGCGCGCTCTCCTGCGGCGTAATTATCTCTCGGAAGACGTTTTCGCTCGCGCGACTTTCAGCCCTCGATGCCGGCACCGACTGTCTGTCTTTGTTTCCTCGCTTCCGCGACACCCCCTTTGCTCGCTCTTCCGCTGCCCCGCCTTTCTTATTTACCTCGGAATTGTCTCTCCTTCCCTTCCTTTCGTCGGCACAGCGTCGTTAAAGTCCTAGCGAAAGAGGGTATATATATTATATACAGGGGGAGTGAGCTTTTTTCGCTCTCGTCTCGGTTGTTTCGACGGCTTTTTTTTTTTTTTTGTACGTATACCGGGAACCGGCGATCCGTGGGATTTCATTCAATTTTTCGTTTTTGACTTGCAGGAAAATTGCATGACGCGCAAGAAAGTGCTTTCAGCGAAGGAATTGGATGTCGGGCCATAGTTTTGAAAAAAAAAAAAAGTTAAATCGCCCCAGAGTTCAATAGACTGTTGCTCACTGGTTTGTGAATGGATGGGATTAGCGAAAAAAAAAAGGGTTACCCATCACCCGTTACTGTGTAGTGAATTTATTTTGTGTGCACGATACATCGAGGGTTTTGATTTATTGCTTCGCAATTTTATTGCTGGACAAAGCGAGGGGCTACGCGCTCTACAGGCCATTGAAACAATCTCAAAGAGGCTTCAACCCACACGAAAACTGTCGAAAATCTCTGAAATGTGTTGGAGGCACCTGATGCCTGTGAAGTTGAGAATGCCTTGGATAAATTTTTAATTAATTTCAAGTCATTTAAAAGCTTTCCAAGTCATTCAAAGTTACCCAAAGTTTTTAAAAGCTTAAAAAAGAGTTTTCATCGAGACTGTCAAGTGCGTAGCCCTTGAAAAAAAAAAAAAAAAATGTAACAGGATGTAAAATTGTTGATATTTAATACGATTGTAATTGGAAACTCGGTAAATGTGCATATTTTATTCCTCGATTTAATAAAAGTCATCAAACGGAATGATACTTCGGTACCAATGGACGCGCGATTTCGTACAGATGAAAAACCACGAGTTGGACGCAGTACTGAACGCATGAAGAATTTTTCGATCGACAACGCAAAAGAGCTTGAAAAAAAAAAAAAAAAAAAAAAAAAAAAAAAAAAACTCCAATGACGACCAAAACGCATAGCCGTGGAATACACAGAGCTTAGCGCCAGTATCGGGAGAAAGGGACACACGGTCGCCCCGGCAACAACAGCGGGAGATTTTTCGGGTCTCCCTTGCGGTGTAATGACACATACCACGCGGTAGCCGGTCCACGAGCCTCGACTTTGTCTGCGGAGCTAATTGCTAATTGTATCTATACAGCGACGACTGCAGGTGCGCTCCGTCGAGACGCTCATTTCTGTACTAATGCACACCGGCACGCGGCTCTTTTGTTTCCCTTTATCGCTCACCGGCACTTTCCGGCGATTAAGTCTTTCCCGTTGCTGTTGTTGGCTATCGTGGAAATGTCTTTCTTTTTTTCTTCCCTCTACCTTTGAATGGCATTTTATACAAAGTACAAAATTAGTGCTGTTTCGAAAGAAAAAGCTCGATCAAATCATCTTCGCGTTTACACTCACGGGGTTGGCAGTAATGTAGTCCAAAGTTTCTTATACATAAGTACTTCGCGTAAAATGTAGTCGTAGTTGCAAATTGTACTATACTTTCTGCCCAACAAATATATATATATATAACTTTGCAATCATCAGCATCGATAGCTCCGACGAAAGTACGTGTAGGGACCACGTGTAATCGTAAGTATCTTTCCGCGCATGCGAATAAAGGTGTCAAACCGGAGCTGAGCTTTCGCGGAAGCTCGCCCATCTGCTTGTCCGCGGGGACTCTTTACACTCCGAGAACGAAAATACGAGGGCGGATACTACTTTTTTTTTTTTTTTTTTCAATCGTAAAGCGTCGCCTCCACATTGGCATTGCAGTCGGGCAAATGCTCACACGTATCATTATTATCGTAATTATTGTACTCCAACAAAGTACTATTCGAGTCTCTTCTTCTTTCTTTCTTTCTTTCAATTAGTACTTTATTTTTTTGCTTACCCACTTATTTATACTTATTAAATTTATATATATAATATAATATAATATACGTCGAGATAATGGTGTATTTATAAAACAATTTTTACGTTATTTAAAATATTTATACGCGTACATGCGTCTCAATTATTACTTACTTTTCATTTATCGTATCATACAATTGCTCTCGTAACGCGCATACAAATAATACTTTTTCACAATATCCCTGAATAATCGCGTTGAAATTTAAAATAACGTTTTGCAAAATATCTCGGGACGACCGTATCCTCGTTAAAGAATTACAAATCACATGTCGTAAGTACACGTCTCGTGTGTAGGTTCACGAGTAGACAATATAATATTATCGTACGAATATATATGGTTTACCAAATGAAACATAAAACATAAAAACAACGATACCCAATGTAGGGACCTCGAAAAATTCGACGCAACTTCTGTATCAATGAAAAAAACAAACGGCGCCAGAGGTGCAACCCTCGGCTCCGACGGAAAAAAAGCTATGGACAGAGCCGAGCTCTGCCGCGATTTGGCAACTCGAGCGCACGCGCTTCCCTAATTATTACTGGTTTTTTTGTTTTTGTTTTTTTCTTCGTCACATCCCCCGCTCCGTGCCTACAAGTTTAGAAACGAAGCTTTGGCAAAGCCAGCCCTCAGACAAAGACGACGTGGGGCTTTTGGGGGGGCATGGTGGGCTCGTAGCCGTAGTCCTGGAGCTTGTTGGAGCGGCGGGTGCTGCCGTACGGGGGCTGGTGGTTGTTGGTCCGCTGTTGCATGCGGTAGAGCGCGGGTATGAGCTCGGGGCCGGAGGCCAGAGGTTCGGACCCGAGGTTCGTCACGTCGGCGACGGCGTAGACGCCCTCTTGGGTGGGTGGTGGCACGTGACAGGTGCGAGTGTTCGTCAAGGCCGTGCCGCCGTTGCTGGTGGCCTTGATCAGCGTGTCGTTCGTGTAGTGCAGGTTGTTGGACGGAGGTGGCGTGGGCGGGGCCCGTTGCGGTTGCTGCTGTTGGTAGAACGAGTTGAAGGTCTGGTCGGTGTCCCGCCTGGTGGGACGCGTGTAGCGCGGGGTCTCGTACACGTTCGTCTCTCGCGACTCGGAGGACTCGCTGCCGGACTTGCGCCGGCACTGCTGGTAATCTGTGAAGTTTGGTTTTTGTTTTTTTTTTTTTTTTTTTTTTTTTTTTTTTTTTTTTTTTTTTT